CATGTCATTTGTTGGACATTTCATAATATATGCATCAATTGGCTTTGCTTCTTGAGTCGAAGAATATATTTGAAAAACTTGACAATTACTTGGACTTATATAAATAGTATTCTGAATCTCCTTATCACATTGTTCCACAGTATTTACTGCTACTTGTTTTGACACTTCCTGAGATATTAAAGGCTTACTTTGGATTTTTCTATAGCATTTCTGTACAATATCTGTCTTTGTTTTCGACACGCAAACTGTATTTTGTATTCCCTTATTGCATTGCTCAATAATGGTCCCTACTTGTTTCGTTCGTCTTTCTGGAAATAATTGTTTGCTTGACAATTGTGTTTTTCTTGTACAGAATTTTAGTTTGGATGCAACAGTTGCTACTGGTGTCGTCTGTTTCATTTGATTTATGTTACTGCAAGTTCTTTGTGGATAGTATATATAATTAGTTTTCGATATGTTTGCAGAATAGTCTGTATAACTTGGTAATCCGTTAGAAAAGGTTAGATATGGAATTATATTCTCGTATTTTTCTTGATACATATTGTCTATTCGATGTGCTTTGTATCCTTCGTAAAGTTTATTAGCTAAATTGGAGTATTCTGGACAAGGAACTGTAATATTTAACGGTTTTATATTTTCGTAAGCCTTTTTAGTTTTTATATTCAATTTGTTAGGATTTGTAGCTTCCCAACCACAGAATGGACACTGCAGCAATTGTGCATTACTCTGTCCTTCACTTTCAAAACTTCCTAGCATATAGTGTTGGAATAAGTGAAATAAATTCATTTTATAACAGCAAATTAAAATAGAAATGATTATTTCTTAATACTTTTTTTACCAGATTTTGTCTTATAATCTTGCATACAAAGAAAATTAGATACATTTTTATATTTGCTGTTGTTGTCATATGGTATAGTAATGCAATCTTTTACAGGAGATATCATTTTTACTCCTATTCTGTTCTATCCATAATAATATAAATAATTCATTAAAATATTAAAATTTTTATTATTGATATCTCAATGCATGATCTACCAATTTATAAATTATTTTGAAAAATTGATGTATACTCCTTTCAAAATAATTTCCTTTATAAATATTCTTCGAATTATATACATATAAATTATATTATATATTTTACCTGCAACTTGCTTTCATCGTCAATTACCTTTGTTAACATTTCAACTATTATAGGAAACCAAGTAAAAGGAGATTCGTATGGTTTACCTGATTGAAACCCTTTGATAACTTTGGTTTGTTCCTGTCCATATCTAAGAAGAACACTTTTTATTCAATACTTTTAAATTCAATCTGATGAGTAAATATCGAATATAAATTTTCGCATCAAAAATAAATAAAAATTTTTATCCTTTATGTTTTATTCTTATATGTTAAATTTTTACTTTTTTCTTATCAATTTAATCTGTTCTAGACAATCAGATATATTCAATTCGGGTATGTTAAGTTCTTTAATTATATTCTTGAATGCATCATTTTTGGCTAAACAATCATAATATTTCACATAATATGGATTCCAAAGACATGGGTGCTTTTGATATGCATTTAAAAAAACAAAGGTAATATTTTCGTTCCATTTTAAAGACATAATTATATTTAATTCATCAATAGTAACACTCAAAATTTATATATTTTACGAATAGAAAACTTACACAATTTTGTGTGACACTCACATGAAGACTGCAATTCTTTATAAAGTCTTAAGTGAATATGTCTATTTATAATATTCGATATAATCAAATATAAAAAGAACCATGATAGAACTATGATGTCTTTTTATATCACAGATATAACGAGAATTTTTTATTGTTTAATATCAATTTACTACTTATACGTATATAATTACTTTATAACTATTTACTTAAATATTTTCTTTACAAAGTATATTTTATTCTATACATTAATAAAAATATTGTCAGCAAAAAAGATCACATTATTTGCATTTGTTAATATTTTTGATGTTTATCATATATGTAGTTAGGTTTAACTAAAGAATTTATTTCCTCTCAATATATAATTACACTTATATATAAATCTAACTTTAAATAATAATTTAACTAAAAATATTGATTGTAATCACACATTGACTTCACTATTTATCTCAAGATACTTGTTCTGTTCTCGTCTACTACTTGTAACAAAATCTATCATAATTCTTGCTTTCTTTAATTTTAGCAAGTAATAAACATTCCTTTAATGTTAGACCACAGTTACAAGTTTCATCTTTACACATTACTTCACAGTCGTTACAATCACAATAGCAGATTGAGTTACTCTGATCCATTAATTTAGATTCTAAAATTTTTAATCGCGCTTTTGTTACCAAATTTTGTATTTCCTTTTCCAATTCCACAGCAGTCTCTAAAAATAAGCTATTTCAGTGATAATTATTCCCTACTATAACAGATTTTACTCACGAATATCAATAGTTCGTAATTGAAACGCTATGCTTTTCCCGAATATATCAAAGTTATCTTCAATTTTTTTTCTGCCATACACTTCTATAGGATTATCTGTATATGTAGAACGATCCTGTTATAAAAGATTTTATATTGTTTCCTCCTTTCCTCTTGAAAAATTAATATTATAAATTACTCGCTGTTACTTAATACATATAAACCTGTTTTCTTTTATTATTGCCTGCGATGTATTTTCGTTCCTTTAACAATATGATAATGTTATTGAAAATATCTGTATTTTATACTTTATTAATATCTTGTATTTGTTTCTAACATGGAGTAAATCCGTTTGCGTTTCTTGTTCTACGGTATCATTACTTGTTTCTGTCGCTACATCAACCGTTTGGATTGGAGTTGGAGAAGAGACGAGAGTATTTTGCAATTTCTGAGCAGAATGAACGGTATCTCTACATTTGAAAAATATTATTTTCATTCCTTTAACAATATGATATAACATTATTGAAAATATCTGTATTTTATACTTTATTAATATCTTGTATTTGTTTCTAATATGGAGCAAATTCGTTTGCGTTTTTTGTTCTACGGTATCATTACTCGTTTCTGTCGCTACATCAACCGTTTGGATTGGAGAAGAGACAAGAGTATCTTGCAATTTCTGAGCAGAATGAACGGTATCTCTGCATTTGAAAAATATTATTGTAATCTTATTTCGTGATATCTTATAAAGTTATATAAAATATATAAATAGTAAATCAATTTAGACCTTAATTTTAAACACAACTCAATTTCTTGAAGTTCACATGTCCCACAGATATTATTTGAGCAAATTTGTTCATCCTCTGATTTCTCAAAAGATAAATGCAAAAATTTATTTTGAATATTGCTATCATTAAATTTTTGATGATTGTTATCTTGCTACAAATATATTTGTGCATTGCGATATTATAAATATAACAGAAAACAACAGACGCATTATAAACATGAACAAATTTATAATAATTTTAATATTTAATAATATTTATATGATTTTATAATATAAAACATAGTATTTTATAGTACACAAATATAATTTAACAAAGAAATCTATATAATCATTTTTCATACTTTTATACTATTGTTGTTGTATACCTTTCTAAAATTATTATGAGATAATGGCATGTATGGGAAGAAAAGCATATGCATTCTTTTAAACCATTTCACTTTTGGCACGTATAATTTTTCGTAAGATATAGCTGCAGCGATTTTTGATAATTCATAACAGTATTCTTTTTTTACATTCACAATCCTGTTAATACAATCACATATTGTTAATTCAGGAATATTAATGGAATTTTTTATCTTCTTATATGCTTCGTAACGTAATGATTTGTTATTGAACTCGGAATCGAATGGATTCCACAAACATTGATATTGTCCATAAAGTGCTATTAATTTCTCGGTATCATCCTCGGTCCATACATTTGGCATATTAAAAAATATTTTATGATAAATCAATTAGGTTATTTAACCTTCTTAATCAATATTATCAGGATGAAAAAATAGATTTAAACTGATTTATATTTAGCTAATATTTTTTTTGTCAGAAAACGTGTGTGATTGGCAAAGAAAATATATCACAAATGTTACAATATGCTTCTTCATTGTACTGATCGATTACAAATACATAAAAATTTAGAAAGAGAAGAAAAAGATGAAGGATGCAATGTATATGTGCATTATAAAATAAATGACAGGTTTAAAATGAAAATGAGGTATTAAATCTCATCAATTTCAAATATATTTTCGTACATATTTCTTTTTTCGTATCACACATTAATAGTATAAATATAAATTGTCCATTTGTTTTGTAAATTTTATATTTTATGTTTACATGACAAAATATCTTTTGCTGTTCATCAAGTGTGCAATTCCTAATCTATAACAATGCCTCATATATTCTATTTTATTGCTACAATTTATGTTTTCTCTATTGCAGTAGGAATTTATTTTCTTAGATTTTAACGAATAAATGGTCGTTTTGTTAAAGTTTGAAAAATGCGGGCGGATTTATAGTTACAAATATCGTTTTTTGATTTAGTAGTAGCATAATTAAAAATAATAAGTACTACAATTAATATATTATATTATTATATGTGTTTAAGTATAAATGTTATATATATGTATATATATTTGATACTATATATTTTGATTGTATCATATGGCAAGGTTCATCATAATTTATATGATAATAATCAAATATTTTATAAAATCAATTAATTACATAATGATCTCTTTCACGGACTAAGAGAACGGATGGTTGATAAAATAACTAAAAAAATGTATACACAACAAAATTGTTGTGTAATAGATTATTGATAATCAACTGATAACTGAGTTACATAATTAAACCGTAGCGGGTTTATAATTTTCTTTTCGACAAAAATATATATTCTATCTTCTAGAAATTAGCTCGACTACTCATTGATATACTACGTTATTTATAAATTATATATACAATATTATTTTCGTATAGAACAATTATACATAATGTATATTTTTCACTCATGATCATCTATTGTTAATCTATATTATTGTATCTTACTGTGCTTAAATCTATATTACACGCGTTATAATTATTTTTAAGAAGTTGTTCTTAAGAAGTCGTTTCAATTGTTGAAGACAATGTAGGTAGCTGCTGTGGGACGAAGTTTACAACCTCATGATACACAAGTTCTATAAGTGACAATAACCATTACCCAAATAATAATAATGCTCTGAATTAAAACAGACATTAGTAAAATGCATTACCTTTCCATTTCTCTACTGGAAGATCCATATCTTCGAAACTCTGATCATATGGTAGAGAAACAGGTTCATCAGTTGGATCCGCATATTGTGCAAGATATGGATGTGCTAAAGCCTGTTCCGCTGTAATCCTTTTTTCTGCATCCAATTCCAACATCAATTCCAGCAAATCAATAGCTAGACAAAAATTCGATATGATTCTACATGCATTATTCGACAAGCTTCGATATAAATTACCAGATAGTTTTTTAATTACCTAATGGATTAGCCCCACGAAACACATCTTTAAAATTTTTTTTTTTTAACGGTGGTAAACTCTGTATATAATTTCTAGCCTGTAACAATAATTCAATTATGAAAAATTATAATGTCATTTATATAAATTAAACTATATCCTGCACATGTACACTATATATTATACTTTCTCTATATTTCATATATCTCTTTATCTTTATATAAATCTTCCAAAAATTTTAAATTAACATTTTTACGATAATAATAGTAAAATTATTGAATTGTATAATCTGAAGCATTATAAATAAACTGTATAAACACAAATATTACATATTAAATACCAAATTGAGATAGTCAAAAGTTAGTTTTAAAAAGTACACATTTGTATTTCTTTTATGTATGCATAATAATTACATTTTAAGTTTTAATACAAAGTTTAATATATATGTAGATTTAAAAAACAAATTTACCTCTTGACTAGTAATTTTGCTTAATGTTTCTTCTGTGGGTGTACCACAGAGTACTAACACTCGTGTTAGGTGATCAATGTCTGCTTATGGTTAAGGTATGTTTGGAAAAGCAGTTATTAAATAATAATTAAATAATAATTAAAAATAATAATTAAAAATTTTATTAACGCTAAATACATAAAACCATTCCCACAACTTGCAAATAATTGTATTTAAAGCAAGCTGCATACTTGTTATAAAGCAGCGTGAATTATAGCTTTAAACAGACATCAAATGTGAAAAATTTAACTTTATACATATTTCATTAATACGCTATATTTGCATATATTAAATTTCATGTACAATTTAAACCTTTTTTTGTTAAGGTATACTATATGTTATAACTTTGTACTTAAAATCTACGTTGCTTGAAAATTTTTCATTTAGTATCTGTTAAGGCATACTTTTATGTGATAACTTTGAACTTGAAATCTACATTACTTGAAATTTTCTTATTTAGTAATTATATGTAAATATATACTATTTTTAATTATTTATAAATATAAATTATCAAAGTACAGATTATTTGTTACTAGAACATTGTATTAAATACTACGTCAATGTTAAATCCAAGAATTTGCCAAGATGTAATATTCATTTTCATTATTTATTTTACAGGTTAACAAGAAAAAGAAAAGATCAAACATAATTCACATTTTATGTAAAATGTACAAACGTGCATATTTCATGCTATAGATAAAGTAATTACGGTAAAATAATTAAAACTTACCGATTCTGACGATATTTTTTTCATAAACTCGTCTCGTGGAGTACCCAAAATTTCCATAATTAAATTCAGTTGATGAATATCTGCTCTTGCTAAGGCTCCACTATATTTTTCTTTAAAAACACTAAATATCCCCTTTGTTAAAAATATCTATTATTTTTTTTAAAAGCAATATGCTCCATATTCTAAATATATCATTAATATTCTTATTTATAAAATTTTTATACTTTACTCATGCTGAATCTGCAGACAACTTTTAGATCTATGATGCAAAATGTAAGCAAATGGCTTTCTAAAAGCATGTTAAGCAGAAAATATGCATTGATATTAGATTTAAGAGTTCAATGCAGCTATGGGATATTAATTACAATAGATCCTTAGCAAAAAGCATATTTAAAGGATATTGCAACTAGATGAGATAAATGGAAATATTTGTCAAGACTGATTAATGAATTTGTGTTAAAAACATACATCTCATATACTTTATAAGAAAAAGGTGAAAATAAAAGTAATACAACTAAATTAAAGTAATACAACAAAAACATCAATAATGACAAGGATACGATCTGTTCCAGGAAATAATGTTCTTCCAGTTAATAGTTCTGCCATAATACATCCAACTGACCAAATGTCAACTAAAATGTACAATAATAGTATTACAGCATTATATGATTTATGTATCATATAAGATAAAGCAGATAAGATATATCGCTATCTTTTTCTCTCTCTCTCTCATTCTCTTTTTTCTCCCTCTAATATAATTACTGACCTGTTTGATTGTAATGCATCCAATTAAGCATAATTTCAGGTGCTCTATACCATCTAGTGGCAACATAGCCGGTCATCTCGTTCTCTGTTGGCCTGGCCAAACCAAAATCCAATATTTTCAACTCACAATCCTCATTAACCGCTATGTTAGATGGCTTCAAGTCCTATTGATCAAATCTATGAGGAAATGCTTTTATACTTTTAACATTTTGTATAAATATATGCGGTGCACGATCGTACCCTATGTATAATTCCTGCAGAATGAATATATTTCAAACCACGGAGAATCTGATAGACAAGAAATTGCACATGATCATCAGAAAGCTTTTGCGTTCTGACAATGTTATTCAGGTCGGCGCCCATTAGATGTGTGACTAGGTATCTGTATAAATAAATAACATAATTAAAATATGAATAAAGTAAGATTAATCTCACATGACAGATGTGATACTTACACATGTTGAAAATCTTCCAAAGACGAAGACGGATGGAATACATCTAACAATCCTATTACCTATAAGAGAACAACGCATATCTTTAAGATTAACTACAAACAGGGATTGATTACAGAATACAATCCACTTAAATCTATAAATGCTTCAAAGCATTTTTTTTAACAATAAAAAAAATTGGTACTAGTTATCTTATCAAAGAATGGTTCAAAGCATTTATATTAAGCATATTATATTATATTAAGTGAACAATAGTCAAAATGCCTTGATAATTGTGTTTACCCACATTTTCATGATTCATATGTTTTAACATACGTAGTTCCCTGTACGTGCGTTTTGCGTGCACAGCTGACTGAAATGGCCTGGCTAACTTTTTGATCGCCACCTTTTGTGCAGTAGTTGTATCCACCGCTGAACTGAAATAAAAATATATATATATTATTTTTTTTTAGTAACACGATTCTGCTTATACTCTTTATTAGCACGATTTGAAGCATTACATAATAAACTGCATTTATTGAAAAACAGAAAAAAAAACAGAAATCTAGTTTAAATCGTGAACAAATGAATTTCACATTATTAGTATTACTTCTCAATAACATCGTATGACAAATATTCTAAGCTTATTTTCATGAAAGTGCGGGAGTTTTATGCACACGTGCATAAAACTCTTGGAATTAACATCCCCGCAATAATTATATTCCAATCGTTCTTTACGACAGAGAGAAATCACGCAATGACGATTTTGCCACTCTAACGCTAAAAACGTCAAGGTTGCGATTGATTCATGATTTCAGTATCATGAAATGTTGTTCCAACAATTTTCCATTTGATCAATTGATCACGATTTCCTAATCAACAGTTAATAAGCTATATAAGGCACAAGAAGCTTTCAAAAAAGTTTAGTTTTTATAATAAATTTTAATAATTTAAAATTACAAAATTTATACCAGAAGCAGATATAAATGACAAAAATATTAAATCAAATTAAAATGTCTTATTGTCAAAACCAAGCATTGCGATGTAAAACAAATTCAAAAGACAAAATCAATAAGAATGAAGAATTTTTTTGCAACTTACGTCCATTTTTCTATCAACGTACATAACTTTAATCTAAATTTTATTTACTCTTTATTTTTTCTAATTCTTAGAATTATGCTCGTTTCTATCAATATAGATTAATTTTAATCTCGGTTCAATTTACTCTTCACTTTTTTCTAGTTCTTAGAACTAGTTGAACTGAGATTAAAATTAAACTACACTGGTAGAAATAAGAAATTATGCTCGTTTCTATCAACTTAACTAGGCTGTTAAGGTTAACTTTAATTTAATAGTGTTTATCTTTTTAATTATTATAATTAGAAAAAGATTAAAGAGTAAATTAAATTGAAATCAGAGTTAATCTGATATTGGGTACCAGATCTTATCGCATTAGCGATTGGAGATTGCGAAAGAAAGTAACTGTTGGTCATCAGCTTCTTTTTGATAAATCAAGAGATACGTAAACATAGACATAATCTCTAATTACTAGTGTAATACAGGTATTAAAATTAGAAAAAGCTGAAAAGTCAATTGTATCAAGATTAAAATTAATCTTTATTAATGAAAATGAATAGACGAGAACTGCAAAGAATTTTTATAATAAAATTGTGATATCTGAATTAGGTATACATTACAAAAATATACATATAATTAAAGAACGTTCTAAATTGCATAACAAAAAACTTACTTTTTAGTCGAAAGGTCACGTTTGAAATAGATATTCTAGATAGTTAAATATTGAGATCCTATGAATTTTGTCCTTAACTTGAGCTGAAATATGTTTGATCATTTTAACTTAGACACACAACGTCTCGAAAACAATGCATTGATAAAAAATGTTTCAAATAAAAGTTTGAAGATGGCTATTAGATAAGCTACTTATAATAAAACTCAGGTTGATTTTTTTCGGGTATAAAATAAGCCCTGAATCTAATATCTAATTAGCTCATAGCTTTCTCTAAATCTTACAATTTCTATTTGAAATATCTTTTTGAAGTATCTAAAAAATGCATTGTTTTCGAAACAATGTCTTTTGTGTCCGAGTTAAATATAGCCAAAACATGTTTCAGCCTAAGACCTGATTGCACCACGTTATTTTGTCTTTAAGCAAGACTTAAAATTCTCTGTCTCGTTTAAGCGTTAAAGCAAAAAAGAGACAGAAACAGAGAGAGTTTTAAGTGCTTAAAATCAAAATAATGTTGGTGCAATCAAGCCTAAGTCAGATACAGAATCCATAGAATTCCTAAGATTTGAATATCTGTTTTAAATGTTATCTTTTGACTAATAATATTACTTTTTTTATATCACTTACAATCTAGAATATTCTCTTGTCAGAGTAATTAAATTGAATATATCAGAACTATACATTGCAACACAAAATAAGTTTAAAGAAAAAGATTGACAAGATCAGAGAATTTTGTGACTTAGGCTCTATTTCATCAATATAGATTAACTTTAATCTCAGTTTAACTTTTACTATTTATCTTTTTGTAATACTAATTCTAATTCTAAGAAAAAGATAAACAGTAAGAGTTGGTGATATACGTATTTAAGACTTCCAAGGGAATCTTGACTAAAGTCCAATTCCACCAATATAAGATTAACTTTAATCTCAGTTTTCTTAGAATTAGAAAAAGATAAACAGTACAAAATCAATAAGAGTTAAGTCGAGATTAAAGTTAATCTTACATTGATGAAATTGGGCTTTAGTCAAGAGTCTCTTGGCAGTCTCTGTCAAATACGTATATCATCAAGGTTTTTCTCGCGCGCGCGCTCGCGCGCGTGTAACATCAGATGATGATTGTATTAACGTTGTTCTCTGCTAATAATGTTGTCAGATCTTACCAAACTTGACCGTAAGCGCCTGAGCCCACGGGAGTGAGCAACTGATACCGTTCCGGTACCTCCCATTCCGTTCTGTTAATCTCGATCTTATGAAATTGCGGCATGCCTTCCAATTGCGCACGTCGCGTTTACTCCAATGAAAATTATGACGATGAACAACAGCGTTCTCTTCGTTTTCACATCCACCTGGATTCGATCTCTATGATGTACGACACCATATTTTCAAGTCGTTGCCGCTACGAATCCATCGCGATACAATATAGACACTGATAGACACTACAGACCGATACAGACTACAAACTATTTACTTAGATCAGAGAGGAAGAGGTGCATCCCGATTCCTAATCGATTCCGCTGCACGATCGCTGATAATCGCACGGTCTAGTTCTCGATACTCGACATTGTTGATTGTTCGATATTTTTTCTGCGTTTGATATATCGAATATCGAGATATCTAATAAAAGGAAAGAACGATTAGAATGTTGATGGAACAGTTTTTAAACTGTTCATAAAATTTAAATATTTTAAATATTCGTAATTTTGTACTTAAATTATTAGCTTGAATATATTTTTAAATGGCCCCAAAATCTTATCTAATTAATGAAATGACTAATAGAAATTCTACGAAGTATAAGTACTGAGTATAAGTCGAAGGAGAAATAACAAAAGTGTAAACGAAACTTCTAGAAAGTGAAAAGATAATGAAACGTAAACATAATTCAGATAATGAAACGTAAAAAATTACTTTTTTTTCTCAGATACACATATAATAAATGTATACGTATAATACGTATAATACGTATATCTGAAAAATTTTGAAAAAATTGATTGTTTAGTACGAATTATAATAATTTAAGGGCTATAGTCCTTAAATTGAATTTAACCCTTAGTACACACGTTAGTTATTTTGCGTACTTTTAATATACACGGTCGGTCATTCGTATCTTAGCTTAATTTTCATTACTTTTACAAGTATACCTTTTTATTAAACATTAAACAATTTAAAAACTTATTAAACGAAAAACTTATTAAAGAAATTATTAAACAATTTATATATATATTTTGAGATTATATATATATATTTTTAGAAAGTATTTGTGCAGTTATATATTCAACAAATTGTAGATAAAGTGTTGTAACTAATACAATTAACGAAATCAGAAAAATGCACTGTTTCGTATAAAAATGTAAAACCCTGAAACAAAAATGTTTAAAAGAAAAATATTTAAAGGTTCAGTATCTTAAAATTGACATTCTAAACTACAAGAAAAAAAAAAAATTCAAGTGTCGACTCCAAAAAGTTTAGTTATTGAGTAACCTAAAAATGATGTTTTTTTAATATATCATGAATGACTATAAATTGAAGATATATTGCATTTACATTTTAAAATTTACATTTAAAACAATGGATTTTATTATTGCTATTATGTTAAAAAAATTTATAATTTATTAGGAAAATGTTCTTTATAACATTAGACAACATAATATATAATATTAACAACATTTAGAACAAAGATACCAAAAATCGCGTTTATTAAGGGCTAATATGTTTTAATTTCTTTTTTAATAATTCGCGAAATATTCTTGCAATACAACCGAGAATTAGTTGAAGTTTTAAAGAAAAAAAAATTTTTTTACAGAAAATGTATACTCTGTATACACCTTGGGTCATTTGTGACTCAGAGGTAAACTTTGGAGTTATGTCAGTTAAAGCATATGAATCGAGACCGGTAACACACAACACAAAAAAATATTTTCTAGATGCCAAACTTTTTTTAGCAATAGAAAAAAGACCGGTATTTTATTAGGAGCTCTTAGTATTTCAAAAAAAAGAAATGAGCAGGACACGAATGACTCAGACGCGTGTACTAAGGAATTAAAAAAAATTTTTAACATGTTTCCAATAAAATCAGATCTGAAAGGATTAATTATCATCTTGGGCATTTTTACAAATGTTTATTTATTTTTATTTCAGTTTAATTTATTAAAGTTAATCTACAATAGTGAAAGTTCAAAGCGTTCAAAGTAATACAGCAGCACTTGAAATTATATATGCACTTTTTTAGCGCTTTGTTAAGCGTTGTGTGCTATTTGAGAGTAAATATTGGCGACTTTTTAATCACACTTCAATTAATTTAATCTATAGTGATTATAAATCAACCAGCGAAATTATGCATAACAAAATTTTTAATTATAATATATAATATTATTCGTTATTCCTATAATCTAATTTTTTTTCATATGTTAAGCAACAAATAGTTAACAAATTAATAGTTATATAATGTTATAATAATAATATATATGATTAATAACATATTTGTTAATTAATATTAATAATAATAATAAATTATATTAATTTAAATCGGAGTAGAAGTCATAAATACAATTTCGAAAAGCTGCATTTTTTTGCTACATTTTTTTAATTGGAACTTATATCCGCTCACATATTAATTTAAAAGGAAAGAGAAAGAGAGAGAGAGAGAGAAACAGAGAAAAAAGAAAGAGAAAACAAGAAATATACGAAGTGCAGAAGGTGTAACTGTGACGAACACATCTTGGCAATTCAACGCGGCACGTTGTGCGCGAGCTTTATTAGTAGCTTTATTATTAGTATAGGATTGTGCTTTTCACTTTCATATTTTCCTTGTGTATATATACGCTACGCGACCATACGTGACGATTATTAAGAATTATGTACTAAATTTTTCCCAGTGTGTTACGCATTATCATCATTAACACATGAGTACTGCCGAGAAGGAGGCAATGGAAGAGTACGAACCCTCCATCAGGAACGTGATCGAGCAACATTCTTTACGATGGATATTCGTGGGTGGCAAAGGCGGAGTCGGAAAGACAACTTGCAGGTATACATAACCTGGAAATGTCGTCATGTTAGTCAATCTCGATGATCAATAAAAAATCCCGTTTAATGAATATGTTCTCATCAGATTAGCATATCAGCTGCAGCCTCGCCTTCTGTGTGCAATTGCGTCCATTAATTTTACTTTATTTTCTGTCGTGTCATTGCACTTAATAAAG